TCTACTTCTTCGTCAAAGTCTTGGCAAAAAAATGGCCGAGAGATCCAGGGAACAGGCGGGTTGTCCGACAAAGTTCTAAAAATGTGGTGGCCGTTGTTTGTAGCCCCCTTGCTAGCAAGTGCAGGCAGTACACCATCTTTCGCGCCGCATTTCGCAACTTCTGCGGTCTTCCAGATCATGTGCGTCCGCAGAGTCACTACGGCAAGGGCAGCAGCCCTTGTCTATTCGTCCAGAAGCAATACAGGCTGTTGGGCTTGGAGCGTTGGATGAGCGAGAAGAGTGTGGGTGTGCTCAGCCTTGTCGAAGAGAATCTGAATGACAAGCATTGTGCTCGGCATCTACTGCTCCTGGGGCATCTTTCAAGTTACCACAGGAAGGGGGCCACGTTTTTGTTGAAGTGTATTATAAACTCCGAAGCCCTTAGCCCTAAAACGCCCCTTATCAGCAACCCAGGCTTGTCTGCAGTGGCGGCACGGAGGCTGCAATTGGTCTGGTCCAGACCGCGGCGGCGCGCAGCGGGCGGCGAATACAGATCATGGTGGGGTCAACCTTCGCAGAAGATCGTTCTGAGCCTGGCCAGGGATTTCAATCTTAGGGTACGTGTAAGGATGTTTGGCATCTGGGATCGAGCAAAATGGCGCTGGTGCAAACATATGGACGTGGTTGCGGCCAGGTTTGTTGCGTTGTTTCGAGCTAGAGGTCGAACAGCAAGAGCAGTAACGTATATCAGGGCCAGCTGAAGCGTGAAGTTCAAACTTCAAAGCAACGCAAGGACCATTATGCTTTCAGCCTGCTGAAGAGGATCACGCTGTCGATGGAACAAGGACTGTTCGTCTGGCAGCCTTATCAGAGGTTTAATTAGGGTGCGGGGTGTCTCATCTGGAGCTGATCCGAAGGACATACCCTTTTGGAACCTGGGTACCACTAAGCTGCAAGGAGCATAGGTGAATGGAGACCTCAAGGACCTGTAATTTAGACAGTCAGCTCCCACATTACATCGGTGGTCGAGACTGTTAAGCCTTGAAAGCCCGGCACCTAAACACCAAAAGCCTGCAGCTCGTGCGGCCAGGAGATGTTCTGGTCATGCGTGGCCTCGATGTCGTGCACGGCTCTTTGTATGACATGCTCAACATGAGCAACTGGGTTGCTGTTGAGACACCTATTGGAAGTGACGATCATAAGGACACCATATTGTGCAATGTACATGCACAAGACCCCCTAAAGCCTAAACCAAAAGCCTTATCATGGCAGCTTAACGTAAGTTCCTTCACAGCTACCCAGGCTACACGACGATGGGCGGCAAGCACCTGTGTCGAATTGCGCTGGGAGATGCAGACATGCTCACGGAGGTGGGGGCTTTCTGTCACCCCCCAAACTGCCCTCCAAACACTAAACCCGAAATCCTAAACCCTAAATCCTAAACCCTAAGCCCTCAACCCTAAAGCCTAAACCCTGTCTGACGGAGTGGCTGATAGGTTCACGAGAGCTTCCGGTGCGTGGTGCTCCAGGAGACGTCGCAACTGGAGACTGGGCTGTTGCCAAGAAGCTTATGACGGTTTAGGGTTGGTTCTCATATTCACAGGTTCTGGCAACTGAATGAACCGGTTTCTTTGGGTTCGCTCCCATATCCCCCATATTTAGATTCTGGTCACTGAAATGGGAAAATTCTCGGTGAGAAGGGCTGGTTTGCCCGCACCACATGGGGTAGAATCCGGGGCAACGTCATTGGACTGCGCAGGCGCGTACTTTTGTGGCTTGGCACATTCCCGGATTTGCGCAATGTCGCGCGTTGAATTCGTGAATTGCATGTTTGACATGTGGACGTTCTGTTCTGTTACAGCTGCTATTCCCCTGAGAAGGGCAGCATTTCTGCATTTTTTAAGCTGGAAAAGGTGTCGGTGCAAAAACGCTTGTTTTTTAGCCTTCGCCCACAGACCCCTGATGGAAGTGCTGTTGACAGCAAGCCCCCCGTTCTGTGTTAAGTTCTCCCATGCTCGCCCGCGTCCCTCCCCGCTTTTTAAAGTCGTGCAAGCTTGTTTCAAAGCACACGTATATGTTTGAAAACCATGATGCCAGCATTGTGTGTGCACTTTTTTGAGTCGTGCAAGCTTGCTTCAAAGCACATGTATATGGTGGAAAACCATGATGCCAGCAATTGTGTGCACATGGGGTGGGGGGGGGCTGCGCCAACCCCCGGCTTTTTTAAGTCGTGCAAGCTTGCTTCAAAGCACACGTATATGTTTGAAAACCATGATGCCAGCATTGTGTGTGCAGATGGGGGTGTCTGCTCCCCCACCCCCCCCCCAACCCGGCGCTTTTTTGTCGCGCAAGCTTGCCTCAAAGCACACGTATATGTTGGGAAACCATGATGCGAGGGTCGAGAAAACATCACGTTTAGCGTCGAGTAAACATCACGTTAAGACTCCAGTGCGCATCCATCCCCAATTGAGGCCCTCCCCAGGCTTCTTGTTATGCAATTGTGGGCCCCCGGAAAATGCATCGGGGGTCTTTTGTGCCCCGCAAATTGCATCGTTTGTTTTATGTCTTACTAGTGCGGGGCTTCCCGCAATGCATTTTCCAGTCGCTGCAAAATGCACGGGGCCTCCCCCGGGCGCCATGAGACACCGGAGGTAAGGCAGTGGCGCCTCCGGAGGCTTCCCCTGCATATTCCAGTCGCCGCAAAATGCACAAGGCCTTGCCTGAACTGTATACGGGAAGGAAAGCCTCAAAAACAACGTTCAAGAGCAACGCTTCGAACAATCGAAGTTCCAAATGATTGTATACATAGAAGACAACTGAAATTAAAGGTTGACACGAGAAGCAGAACACGGGGCATTTCATGTGATCAATATTTGGTTTTGAACCATAACAACCACAACAAGTGTTACTGACAAGTAACCCCGAACCCCAAGCCCCGAACCCCTAAACAGCCCTAAACCCTAAACACCTAATTTTTTTTTAACCCTAAGGAGTACGAATAACTGTCCAAAATCTGAACCCCAGGCCCTAAACCCCTTAACGGCCCCTAAACCCTAAAACCCGAAACCCTAAAACCAAAACCCTAAACCCTAATCCTAAACCCTAAACCTAAACCCTAAACGAGAAACCAAAGCTCAAACCCTGAACCCCAAGCCCTAAACCCAAAAACCCTAAAGAACCCTAAGCCCTAAACCCTAAACCCTAAACCCTAAACCCTAAACCCTGAACCCTGAACCCTAAACCCTAAACCCCCTAAACCCCCTAAACCCTAAACCACCCTCAACCCTCAACCCTCAACCCTCAACCCTCAACCCTCAACCCTCAACCCTCAACCCTCAACCCTCAACCCTCAACCCTCAACCCTCAACCCTAACCCTCAACCCTCAACCCTCAACCCTAAACCCTCAACCCTCAACCCTCAACCCTCAACCCTCAACCCTAAACCCTAAACCCTAAACCCTAATCCAAAACCCTAAACCCTAAGCCCTAAACCAGAAACGAGAAACCAAAGGTCAACACCCTGAACTCCGAGCCCTAAACCCCTAAACAGCCTTGAACCCTAAAACCAAAACCCTAAACCCTAAACCCTAAACGAGAAACCAAAGCTCAAAGCTCAACAAGAAACCGAATGAGTTGGCTATTACAAGGGTAACATAAACAACCCAATGAAAACATGGACAAAAAGAAACTGCCATTTTTTACATAACAACCCAAAAAATATAACCAACCACAAACCCCTAAAAAAGAAAACACATGGGAAGGCTTTAGACAAACATTGAGTTGCAAGATAAAAAATTAGGGCGCGCACTGGAGTCGAAAAACACGGCGCTTTTTTCGACACGCGCCGGGTCGAGTAAACATCCAGTGCGCATCCCAGGGTGCAGACTGGACCGAGAACTCCCCAGAACCCCCTGTAGGATGCACACTCGAGTCTTAACGTGATGTTTTCTCGACCCCCCGTTCCCGAGCGTTCTGTGTGCAAAAGGGGGGGGGGCTTTTTAAAGTCGTGCTTCAAAGCATGCACGTCTTTTCTCATTCATTCCCCGAAGAGAGCCTAAATCCGAAATCTATAGATAACATTGTCTCTGAAGGAATGCTTGCGGGCAAACCAGCCCTCCTGCGTGCAAAATTTCCCATCTTTACCCCACTACGAAATGTAGCTTGGGATGTTCCCCCGTATACAGTCCTTAATAGGGCTTATAGTAGGGGGTACGAGAATAATCCCAACACAGGACTGTCAGGATACGGAAAATAACCCTAAACCCTAAACCCTAAACCCTAAACCCTAAACCCTAAACCCTAAACCCTAAACCCTAAACCCTAAACCCTGAACCCTGAACCCTGAACCCTGAACCTTTTGGCAGCCCAGGAGAAGTTGGATGCCGCCTTCCTGAACCGGTTCGAGAAGCACTGCGCTGCCTGGGCTCGTTTGTGGGATGCCTTTGTGGATTTTGAAGGCTTGAAGGTCTTAGTTTTTTTTTTCTTGTTGGGGGGGGGGGGTGGGTTTAAGGTCTTAAGGTGTTAGCTTTCTTTTTTTGGGGGGTTTAGGATTTAAGGTTTGAAGGGTTTTCGGATTTGGGCTTTGGAGGTTTTTCCGGATATGGGGTTTGGGTGGTGTAGGGCTTTGGGTCGCAGACTAACCAAAAAGACTAAAACCCTAAATCCTCAACGCCACGAAATTCTTAGCCCCCAATACCGCAAGAACGTTAAGCCAAAAACCGAAGAGACAAAACAAACCATGAGCCGATTTAGCCCCGAGCCGGAAGCCCTCAGTGTGGCATCTTATATTCAAGAGCACGCTGCTTTTGCCACCTATCCATTGGGCTCTTCCCCCTTATACTCTCAGTCCTTACCAGGCATTATAGTACCCCCGATTGTAATCCCTACTACGGATTGTTGTATAAGGAGGAACATCCCGGCCTATCTAATAGTTAGCAGCAGCCCAGGTTGGCATCGAGGCGGGAATGTCCGATGAAGTCCAGCAGAAGGCTGTGCAGTTTGTCCGCAACCTCGCCAACTGATTCACAACCACCCAGGCGGCCCGTTCTCCAAATCGTGGTCCTTTTTTGGGTATACTACTCCGTGCTATAGAAGGGACCCGTTAACCCTAAAACCCACAACACTACGTGTCATGGAAGGAATCCTCCCCCCCCCCCCAACCCAAAACCCAAAACCAAAAACCCAAAACCCAAAACCCAAACCCAAAACCCTAAACCCTAAACCCTAAACCCCAAACCCCAAACCCCAAACCCTAAACCCTAAACCCTAAACCCTAAGCCCTAAACCCTAAACCTCCACGAAAAGAAGTCCACACCTTCAAAGAGTTGCCCAGGTAGAGGACCTCTTTGTGGGCTGGGGCCCTGAGACGGCCGCTTCGCTGGTGGCTCATGTTGCGGCCGAAGCTGGACGGCCTTGAGACAACTTTAGTTGGTTCGGGTTTAGGGTTCAGGGTTTATGGTTTAGGGTTTAGGTTTTGGGGTTTACTGTTAAGGGTTTAGGTTCCTGGAAGAGTTAAGGAAGCGGCAGAAGCCAAGCGCAGCTACGACAGTCCTTTGCAGCTGCAGCGGGACTGCTGGTTTCGACTGGTTGCCGTGGCCACCACGGACGGCATGCTTCGGGCGACGGAACTTTCGGAGATGGCCGGGGTAAATCAGGCGCTGGCGCAGGAGTGGAGGGAGCCCTCACCCTAAACCCTAAACCCCAAACCCCAAACCCTAAACCCGCAACCCTCAACCAGGAATGGAGGGAGCACTTCTTCAAGCAACCGCGGTCGCTGCCCGAGTGGATCAAGGCAAACGGCTCCGAGGTTGCTGTTAAATACGGAACTTTACAATCATAATCAAGTTCGCATGTCATAATATACATATATACTTAATTGTCAAACTGTTTTTTTGTTTATGTATTCTTTTATGTATTTGTTAGCTATGTATTTCTGTGTTTATGTATTTACGTCTGAAATTGTGTGTTTTCTGTATGTAGTTTCTTGTTTAAGCAAGTGGTTAACCATTTAAAGGCTTCTTTGTTCAAGTTATCAATAAAAAAACCCTTGCAGAGTTTGAAAAATGGCAATCCTCTATTCTCGGTAGCTGAGATTACATCCTAGACCCTAAACCTAACCCCCAAAAACCCTAAACCCCAAAACCCAAAAGCCTAAACCCTAAACCCTAAACCCTAAACCCCAAACCCCACTTCCTGAGCAGCAGCCCAGGCTGGGAGCAGCCCGTCCCACCACAGGCTCCGCCCACGAAGCGCTTTGCTGTGGTAACCACCATGTCCCCGCTACATCTCAACTTGCCCGAGCTCTTGGAGGCGCGGGCGTGTTCCTTAAGTGGGGTTTAGGGTTTGGGTTTGGGGTTTCGGGTTTAGGGCTACGAATGCACCTTAGTTAAGGAGCGTTCCTTATGTGACGTTTAGGCTTCTGGGTTGAAGCTGAGGTCCTACCCTCCACTTAAGAAACCCGAAGCTCCAACACTTAAATGAGACGCTACTGCAACTTCAAGCTGAACTTTGGAACCCCAAACCCCAACCCCGAAACTTCAATCCGCAATCCTCAGCCCTAAACACCCTGGATTCCCTGGCTTAGGGGCTGGTCCCTGGCTTCCTGTGCGTGGCAGTGGATGCCTTGACGTCCGAGTTGGACCTCGAGAAGAAGCTGCAGGAGTTCGGTGCCAGGCAGCTTCCTCCGGGCTCGGTGCTCCTAGGCCCCTGTTCTTTTGGCATCTTTCTTTTCTTGGGGCTTGGGGTTTAGGATCTTCCTTCTTTGCAAACCTGCCCACACCCAGTGTAGTGACATGGAGCCATCAGATCACAGCAAGGCTTATTAAGGCTTAGTTGCCCCTTCGAGCTATGTAGGCCCTGAATGAGCCCTCGACCCTGAAACCCGAACCTCCCAAACTCCCCCAAACAACCTAGGTAGGATGAGGGGGCCCTTAGAAAGGATCCCTTCTTAACCCTCTTCTGGCTCTCTTAAACAGGGTCGTATTCAAAGGGTCTATATCCCCAAGGGTCCCCTTAATCCTAGCTCCCTAAACCCTAAACCCTAAGCACTAAACCCTAGACCCTAGGCCCTAAACCCTGAGCCCTAAACCCTAAACCCTAAACCCTAAACCCCCCAAAATATCCAGGCTGGTGCTGCAATGCCGAGCGCACTCCCCCCATGTGGAGCTCGTGCGCCATCGCGTGTACAGCCAGCTGCCAGGTCGGGGCAAGGGTTTATGCGGTTTAGGGTTTAGGGTTTCGGGTTTAGGGTTTAGGGAGTTTAGGGTTGAGGGTTTAGGGTTTCGGGGTTGGGGTGAAGGGGCCTACTTGAGGTTTTAAGGCGATTGAATGTGTAGGGTTTTGGGGTTGAGGGTTTAGGGCTTAGGGGGCTAGTAGGGGCATGTGAAAATGAGCTAAGGGGCTTCAAGAAACCCCCACAGCCCATGCAACTGACAACAAACCCTTACAGCACCCTCACCACCCCCCCCCCCCCCCCCACAGGGTTTCTTAAAGAGACCCCCTCCCCCCCCCCCCCTTCCCCCGTAGAAAAAAGAGAAACCCTAAACCCTAAACCCTATACCCTAAACCCTAAACCCTAAAACCCTAAACCCTAAACCCTAAACCCTAAACCCTAAACCCTATACCCCAAACCCTAAACCCTAAACCCGCAGAAGCCCCAAAGCCTAAGCCCCGCAGGTGATCGCCGGGCGCTGCTGCTGCTTCACGGAAATCGGAAGGTGCTGGCGCCTTCGCCGTGAGGGCCCCGGGAAGTGCCCGAAGGTCGGGTTCCCTTTTGAGGATCTTCTCCTCTACTTGGGGGTGTAAAAGCCTTAAATCCTAAACCCTAAACCCTAAACCCTAAACCCTAAACCCTAAACCCTAAACCCTAAACCCTAAACCCTAAACCCTAAACCCTAAACCCTAAACCCTAGAGAAAGGGATGGCTCTTGGTTGGGGCCTAGAGGCCTGGCGGTTTGTGGAGGTTTTTAGAGGGCTTATATTTCACCCAAGAGGTAGCCCAACTCGGGAAATTGCAACACCCTCATCTCGAAACTCTTTACCCTAAACATTCCTTGAACCCGAAACCCTAAAACATAAACCCTAAACTGCCTAAACCCTCATCCCGAACCCTTGGCCAGGGCCTGCAGTTTCCTAGAGACTCCACCCCTTAAGGAGGGAACATTCCTTAAATCCGAGGGACCCTCTTTTGATCTGAGCAAGCCCCCAGATCCTTAGACCCAAAACCTGTGGTCCTTAACCCAAAACCCAAAACCCACAAAACCCGAAACCCTAAAAAACCTAAACCCTAAACCCTAAACCCTAAACCCTCAACCCTAAACCCTAAACCCTCTCTTGGAAAGGAGGGCTGCGGGGCCTCTCGGCTTTTTTCGGGCCCAGGTCCGCACCCCGGAACCTGTCCATCCGGCTGAACTTCCAATCTGGCTGGGCGCAGGCGCCCTGAAAGCGTGTTTAGGGTTTGGGGTTTTGGGGTTCGGGGTTTGGGGTTTAGGGTTTGGGGTTTAGGGTTTAGGGCTTCGCCCGAATCCGAGACCTAAATTCAAGTTTGGCTACTAGGGGTATTGGCTTCTTAGGGCCAATGGGGTTTAGTTGAGGGTGTAGCTTAAGGACTTCCAGCTCCTAAATTCCGCACCCGACGACCCGGCGCATGCTCCCCCAAACCCCGAAGCTCTAAACAGCGCTAGCTCCACATCGCCTCGTGAAGCTAGGTCTTCCTGGAACAGCTCGTGGTGAAGGACAGCTGCCTCATGTTGCCGTTAAGCCCTCTTAAGGGTCCTGCAGCTTAGGGTTTAGGGTCTAGGGTTTAAAGGATTCGGGAGGGGGGTTCGCTGCCATTTTCTGGGTGTGCATCACTGGCAGGACGAGGATCTGGACATTCCCAAATGCGTCAACTTGTCCTTGGAAGCTTTGCTAGATGATGCCGGCCCGCTGCACTTCGAGCGCGTGCTAAAGAGCGTTCTTGCTGCCACCTGTCGGCACTTATCGCAAGTCCATCAGTCGTTACAACTGCACATCCCGGAATCAGCATGAGCCTCTTTTTCCCCAACAATCCAGGTAACGTAGACCGTAGACCAGCGAATTTACACACGGCCGTAGTAGTCAGGTTCAGAATGCTGAAGCTTCCACACATCGCACGCCAAGCAGACACCATATCAGTTTTGAAGAGTGGCAAAGGAAGCAGAGACCCTCCCAGATAGCAGCTGTGGAGGAAGGCGATGGCGCGAAACGGTGCGAAACGGACGCCTCTACAGGAATGATACTGCCAGCGGCTGTGTACAGGCACGGGGACCACCGATGCGCGGCCACTGAGCCTGAGCCTGCCCAGGTTTTCCAGCAAGTACAAGTACTCCTCAACTGTGCTGAGCCGCTCAATGGATGGCGCGCGAATCACACGAGATGCCCTGAACCAGGAGCATGCCGCAATGCAAAGTTTGGAGGTAGCTTTGAGTCCCAGGAGTCCTCCTAGGAGTATCCGGATGTGGAGGAAGATGCCAATGATTTGGCAGCGCTCGTGGGGTGAGTTGCAGCGTAGGGCCGTCGATGCTGGACGGCCCTTGCAAGATCAGGTCCTCTCCGATTCATCCTCCATTCCAGAAGCGTCCTCCATGGATGTAATACTGGATCTTAAATAATACACACCACGACACTTTGGAAACATATGTGTATATGTAAGTCTAGCCCTAACCCAGCTGCATTTCTGAAGGCCGAAAGCCCCCCAAAACCCGAAGAAACCCTGGGGCGAACCCCCCTAAAATCCCAGACCCTATGAGGCCCCAAGGCCCCTGAACCCTAAATCCCAAAACTTCAAACGCCTGCTGGCTCAGCCCCGGATGACCGTAACCCGTAACCCGTAACCCTAAACCCTAAACCCTAAACCCTAAACCCTAAACCCTAAACCCTAAGCCCTAAACCCTAAACCCTAAACCCTAAACCCCCCCAAACCCTGCCGACTCTGAGCCCAGGAGTGCTTCTGGTACATCAAGTATCCCCCGACCAAGGAGGCTGCGGAGCACGTCAAGGATGT